TTAATTACCTCAATGTATTTGTTGTTTTCATTTAAAAATATGTACCTATTAAAATCTTATTTTGAAATATATAAAATATTTATATTATATTATAGAGAAAAGAATATTGACTATTCAATAATACCTGGCTTCTAGGTGAGTATTAATATGCATTTGAAATTGAAACAATATAACTATTTAAGTTAACTTAAAATAATTAAATAAAGCAGAAAGTAGAAAACTAAAATGTGGATACAAAGCTATGGTTTTTTTAAATTTTATATTGTGGTGATAACTAAATATTTTCATGGAATAAATAACTTTAATGACTAACTCTCCTCCATGATTCCCTGATTCCCCCAAGATAGTTCTCTCTCACTCACTCTATATCGACGCCACATCTTGTAGGCTGGGTGGTGAGGAACACGCAGTCCATTAGTTTATAGGTCTATGTTTAACCCAGTGGATCACATGCGTGATTTTTATCATTGTTATCAGCTATCAATAATAAATTTAAACACAAACATACACATAGATAAAAATATAATTTCAGAAAAAACTTTACATATAATCATTTTATAACATAATTAAATGTTCTAGTCTCTCTAGTATAAATTGGAATGTATCAYCTGTCAAGTCATAATACGATAAAATCATAATTACATTCATCTTCCAATCAACTCGAGAATGTCAGGCTTCTTCGGAGTTAATAATACCCATTCTCTCACTTTCAGCTATTCTCCGACCTCTATATATTAATTGAAAAAATATATAGYATTGTGTATGATGTTCAGTAATTGTTCTAATCGAGAAAAATCCACGTATGGTATCGTGGAAGGCCCATACGTTTTGTCTTTATCGTAAGATTTATACCAGTCGTTTATTTTGAAAGAATCCCCAACACTATTTTCTATGCTGTCTTCATTAAGTTATACGGATGGAGCTCGAAATGTTGATGGATCGAAACGTTATATTTTTTCTAATGGTTCGATAATCGGACTTAATGTTTCTGATACTAATGAATGAATATCGGCTTTTCCTTGTTTTAATGCTGTATACTTTCGCTTGATATTTTCTTTGGCTTTTATCAGTTCTCCGAGCACTTCACCACTAGCAGCCATGACTGTGAATGAAGCATTTCCACAATAACAACACTTTCTATATTGACGAATGTGTCGAATCCATGACGATATCGACCGTTGTCACGTTCACAGTCTTTGTTTATCACGAAAAACTCAAATCTCCCCAGACGCCAACACGAAGTGCAAAAGTCTTTAAACTC